GATGCTTCAAATACAGTAAAACTAAAAAATATAGATTAGCCAAATAGCGAAATAGTTCGCTACATTTTTTAAGCAGTAGCTGTAGTCAGTAGCGAACTACCTTTGTTCAAAAGTAGCAGTAGTTGTAGCTGACTACATATTTTTTAAGTAGCTGTAGTTATAGCGAACTACAAAAATTTTGTAGTCAACCCACCCTTGAAAAATATACATGCAATTATATTATCTATAAAGACTAAAAACAGCCGGCGTTACAAGGTTGCGCAAACATACCGTTTTGAAATTTATGGAACTATCATTGGAGAGCTTATAAGGAAGCGCGACGTTTTTGACAACACGTAGCAGTCAAAGGTGGCGAGTGCATGATGGCGTCAGCATCACGAACTGCAATCAATGCAGTTATACGTGGTTCGATTGACTTCCGGCTGGCGTACGTGTTTAAAACTTGCTTAAATTTTAAAATATAATATCTCAATATTTAGCTGTTCAAAAAATGAATATTATGTAGATAAGTAGATTAATTTTATTTTAAGATCAACCTAAAGTTCAAGGACAAGATTGCGGCGTGTTATGTAATCGATAGCAGCGCAGAAATAGATTTCACAATAGGAAGCTTTTATATACATTTGATAAAATATTGATACTTTCAGACAAATTAAAAGTTATCTGCGAGCATGTGGTGATGCACGTCGAATTTGTCTTAATGCATGCGCTGTTGCGATGCATGATTTAGCATAGTATTTCCTCCTAGAATAGATTCAACATAAAAAATTAACTGTCTTTTTGTCGACACTACAGTCAATTTTTACAGTCTATGACTATGCACGAACATTTTTAAGTCAAACAGTCATATGAAATTGTTCATTTTGACTTGTGTATGCATGTATTATAATATATTTTCTCCAAATTAAAAAAAATTTCTTCTACTCTTCATTCATGATATTTTTGAAAGACATTTTTTTTCTGTAAGGTGTTTTCCACACAATCCAGCCGCTCTTTAAATTGATATATGGCTTTCATTCTGCAAAGAGCTTATTAAAGTCTTTAAATTTAATGCATTTTCATATTATAGCGTAAGAAGAGTCTTGGGTAGTCCAATGTAAATATTAGGCCTACCACGGTTCGCTTCGCCAGTGCATGCTATACAGGCCTTTCGACAACGCGGCGCGATTTTTCAGTTTTTGAAAGCCGGTTAATAAAACAGCCAATGAAAGGAAGTTTTAACTATATACGCAGACCAAATAATTAAGTCAACATGTTATAGCGCTTCTAAATATTTGAAAAACTTGAACCAGGATCAGCTGGTTGTCGATTCGCGTCAGTGACGATGTGTCTGGACCCTTAAGCCGGTTTTCCACTAGCGAATTTTCTCGCGCGAAGCGACCTTTCTCCTTTGTCGGTATCACTTATTACGCCATCAAGACGTGGCAGACGTGGCCGGTTTTCCACTAGGCACTAGCGACTTCTCGCGCGAAGCGACATTTTTCTATTGTTTTAGAGTTGTCAGCTGCAACCATCTGGAATAAATTGCCCAAAGACAAAAGAATATTATTCGCTTCGCGCGAAAAAATCGCTTGTGGAAAACTGGCTTTACGGAAAATTCGCATATAATTTCACATGTGAAATTTTATGTAATAGATAAAGCTTGAGTGGCCGTGTTGTATCAGATATACAAACTCGAGCCGAAGGCGAAAGATTGTATGTCTGATACAACACGGACGAGAATACTTTATAATATAGCTCGTGAAACGTCTCGATGAGAACATTCGTATTCTTCAACAATTTAAAATATTAAACGAATGATATTTGGACTTTGCTTGAGAAAATTAAACGTAAAAAGTTTATGTAAATCAGCATCATAGGCGTACCGGGCGGGGGGGCGGGGGGGGCGGCCGCCCCCCCAGTTTTTTGGGCAGTCGGGCAATATTCGATTAATAGTCGGGCAATTTTGGGTTGTTATAAAAAAAAATCGGACAAATTCTGTAATTTTTTTCAAAAATTTAGTCAATTTTGGGGCAAATGTATTTTTTGGGAAAATTAATGTGATTCTGCGAAAAATTTGGTACGTCCGGAAAATTTTTTTGACCCCTAAAATGGTACACTGACCGAAATTTTTTTCGGGGGGGGGTGGAGGTCGCCAAAAAAAATTTTCCGGGAAAAATTTTTTGCTACTAGTCGGGCAAAATCACGAAAAGTCGGGCAATTTTACGAAAATTTTTCTTTCCGCCCCCCTAATTTTTTCCTTCCGGTACGCCCATGATCAGCATGATTCTGTATCAGATATACAAACTCCTTCCGACGCTCATGATTTCTTTTGTGTTCTCTTCATGAACTGTTTATATATTAATGAGTTTCACAAGTGAAATTGGAACGTTAACACTCTACTATAACTACTGTGAAAGAAATTATCAGCTCCGCGAAAATGTGTGCAGCGGAATGTGGAAATGCTGTATAGAATGCGAGAATTTCTTGCTGTTTAATTTAAAGGCCTATAGTTTTAAAACTCCAAAAGCTTCTTTGTATAACAGTTGGTGCATGCATGCCCCCCAAATTTTTAATATATAGTGATTCTCCGAAAGACATATTATGCGGGTCGCTAGCTATTTCATGCATGCACGTGCAGTCAAAAAGGTGGTATATGACAAGGTTATAAGTACAATGTATAGACATTCAGCTTAAACCTCTCAGACGTGTCAGATATTGATAAATCATTCAAGAGAGCCCCATCAACACAGTGCTTCAAATATTGCTCATTGCTTGTAGCAGGTGTTCGGGAGTCGCTACTTTGTGTGCAGCGCTGCATGTATATATGAAGTGCAGATATCAAAGATTTTTACAAGATTTCAAATGTTTCTACGCAACATACTATACTGATTGGTGTTGATGGATAAAACTGATAAAAGGAAGAGCAGAATAGAGCCTGATTAGAGAAGATCAATCGAAGTATGAAAATTAAAACTCTGAATATTAAAACCCCAAATGCACAGTACGTGGCTCAAAATATTGGGTGAACTGCTCAAATTTACGAGCAGAATCGTTTACTCAAAAACTTGAATAAATTTGAGTAATTTTGAGTCACTGTATATTGGTCAAATACTCAGATATTTTTTGCAGACTACACTCTACATGAGTAGTATACCATCCCCCCACCCCTCCCCATGAGTTCAGACTGTTGTGTATAGAAAGACTGTCGACTAAACAGACTTGGAAAAAAGTGGATCTTACAGAGGAACATTTGCCTGAGTAACAAGACTGAGGAACATTGCGAATTTTCCACATTTTAAAGGATCTAATTGTGTTTCAGATCATAATGTACGCGAAACAAAATTAACTCCCTTATACAGTATGAACAATAATCTTTCTTCACCAATTTTCCATCAAATAATGGCAATATAATTGGTTTTAGATTCTGAGGATTCTATTACAAAATAGTGGTAGTATACACAGTACAGTATATATTAAACCATATTCATGTATTAATACTATAACATGGATATTAATACATGAAATTAATACTAAAACACGAATATGGTTTAATACTACAGTATTAAATTAAACCATATTCCGCAAAGAATTAATTAAACCATATTCGTATTAGTACTGAAGTCATTCGTCAGTCAAATGAATTAACATGCAAAATAAGTGACTATGAGCTTTTACATGGTATGAAATACAAACTAAAGCCTATAGGCTCTGTTTCAGTCTGCCTATAAGTAAGGTTAGCTATAGTAAGCTGTAAAAGCAATAATCAGTGAAGGCGTTAATTTTTATAGTCAAATAAATATAAAAAACAATATACAGTATAGTCAATTTATGCAAAATAAAATACCCCATATAGTTTCTGCGCGCTTTGAGGAATATTTGAAATGGGCAAACTCAGGTTCCGAGGAACATTGGATACTTTTCCAAGTCTGTCCTAAACGTATTGTTAAAATAGCTATTAAGGCTTAATGGGCGAGACTTGAAAGCATATCAATTATGAAAGTATTCTTTGGTTTTGGTGAGAATTAGCGCCCTTTCATCTTGTCGCGACCAAGCTTTTCGTAAACTTTGCTAGTGGCTAAACCGTTATGCTTATACGCTTATTGACAAGCGCACCCAGTCTATAAGTTATATATTAAATACTCGGAACTCAATACATTTATTTAAAAATAACATTTATTATCCGTCCTCATTAAGAAGAAGTAATCATTAATTTCGTGCGGCAGGACTTAAAATTGCGCTCGCGGGAAGCGATTGTAAATTCAACAGAACCTGCTAATTTTTTCATATTTTAATACTTAATTAATAAATAGAATTTTCCTTGCTAATGATTTCGAAATTTAACGGTTTAACCGATTTTCTCATTGTCCTAGCCTGGCGGGATAGCATTTTACCTAGGCAAAAAGCAGGCAAAAAAATTAATCAATCTTACGTCTGCTGTGCGGTTGATTAAGGTTACAGGATACCCTAGAACGTAAAAATTTTGAATTTTTTTTTTTTTACATGTTCTTGTTGCTTTTGAGCATACCTGTCGTCTGGAAAAAAATGTAAATCAGTATCTTTAAAATTAAACAGGTTATTTAGTAAAACGCAATTGAAGTCTATATGTTTGGCGGGAAATGTGTTTGACAGAAAATCGACACCTTGTGCAATTCAATTAGTGTATATGTCATCTCGTATTCCGTTATCACAACATGCGATTGTACAGACACACATTTCTCTTGCACTGAAATCTTTGCTGAAAAAATGCCGCGAATAAAAGCCGATTCTGGCAAAAGCAATAAAACCCCTTTTTGCGGCCGTCGGAAGAAACTCAAACCCAAGACCGACAATTTGTTCACAGAGGAGAGAAAGAAATCACTGGCAGAAAGTGACCTTAAATTAAAACCATTCTGTAGAGATGAATCAATACCCATAAAGGCCATAATTTAGAACAGTTTGCCTAATATTTACTAGCATAATTATAGAATATAATATGTAAGTATATTTACATGAGTATGTTTATCATAATATAACAATACCTTTTAAAACACATATTTTTAAACTTAATTATTTGACTAACACTATAATAATCTACACACAACTTCGGGATCTTCAAAGCTTCACAAAAGATGTCCAGCTCAATATTGTAAGCATCCTAGAAGCAGAATAAAAACATTGATTTGGCGACTTATCATTTTTGCCATATTTACTAATTTAGCCACAAGTGCATGACTAACCGGAAAACTGGAAAAGCTTTATTAGAATTAGCCCTTTCGTTCCCTGCGCGGCTTTTATAGTGACCTTTGGCTTTGCGTACAGAATATCAAACTCACTTCTCTTATCTCTCCTTTTACATCACCGCAATATCGCTCAGGAAATTTAGTACTTCGACAGGATATACATAAGCCGCATCGTTGGGACCGATTCCCTGTTTCTATAAATGAACGAAAATGTAATGACATTTTACAATAAAACCTTTTATTTCCAAAAACATTACGATGCGCGGCGTACTAAAAACGCAAATTGTGCAAAAATCCAGTGAACCAGGTGCAATTATGTATATAACGCGTGTGCCCATCCACAATAAAAAATACCGTATAATTCTAGGAGGTTTACCACGATGCCAATCTTCAACACCAGCTTCAATATTCTTGATAAAGTTTGTTCCATCGTAACTGAAGAGAGAGAACAAATGCATGGTTTCTATAACGTCAACTAGCAAAATATCGTCGGATCAAAATGCGATAAACTAAGTTTCCTTACCCTTTAAGGCTTAGATCTTTCATCGTTGCCATTAGTTTTTCTTTGTGGTCCACATCGCCATCATCTGCATTTTTGTCACTTTTGAGATTCTGCGCTTTTTTGTGGCGCGTTGGTTTGTCTTATTTTAAGCCTCAGCTTTTTCTTTTCGTTTAGGCATGACTTGATTATATATTGTGGTCTTGCCGCAACGTTATCTGTCATCGGATTAACTTTATAATGACAGTACGTCACAGCAGGCGGAGTACCTGATAACACTGAAAGAAAACCCGCGAAATTTTCAAAGCGCTTTTTGAGGCACTTGAGTTTTGAGTCGAGTATACGCACTAAATAAAGTTTGTTAAGCGTGCGTTTTAACCGATTTTTGTCAAAATTCCACACAGCATCGATACATATTTCGGCTACAAAACGGTGTGCGCGCGAGCTTTTTATTCAAATAATAAGCAAGTTACAAGCTTTTTGTTGTCAATTAGTTGCAATATAGCATAGGTCTGGAATGAATATGCCGTAACTCATGAACCCCTAAAGCAACTACAAAACGCGAACACCGTTTTTTAGAACAACCTTTGAGAAGAGTAAAAATGATATTTTTATAGGATTTGAGTAAAACCGGCGTCTAACAAACTTCACGGCGCGGAAGTACCGCGATTTTAGACTTCGGCAAATATCTAAATAAGTATTTATTCTTTCGTATGTGTGATAAGAACATCTTATACTACATTTATCTAACTACATTTGGTGAAACTTTGATGGAATTTGGATTAAAATTGATCGAGTTACAGCGGATCTCCCGAAAGGCATGTCTAGGGTATCCTGTAACCTTAAACTATTCATGAGGTATATATCTAGATAAATACCTCATGAATAGTTTAATGAGGTATTTATCTAGATATATACCTCCTCATGTGTGTATTGAGCAATTCAAATTCATACATCAGCCCCGCTCTTCCCTGCTGAATATCAAATCCCTCCCCGTGCTTTTAGAGCGTAAACCTAATGAACAGGTAATTATGCTAAATACAGTTTTATGAATAACAATGAAAACCGACTCAATCATGTAATAAGCTTAATTAACTGTTCTTCGTAATAGATTTTCTTAGCTATTTTTATAAAATGGTTTAGTTTATTTTTATATTTTATATACTTTTGCCTGATTCTATCATTTGGGTTTATAAGGAAGGTTTTGTATAATTTATTTTTATTTCTAACAGATTTTAATATGTTCTTTGAATGTTTGCATGGCGATAAAAAATAATTGTTTTTTTGTGGAAACACCACGTAAATTTATAAATTTACGTGGTGTTTCCACAAACAAAAACAATTAGATTTTAATATGCACCTAGACATCCATGGGCTTTTAATCTTATTTATTTTTGATTTGTTTTGTTTTCTTTTAAGTGGAAACTGTGCGTCATATACATCCATAAATAATCTCAGAAACTCATTAAATGCTTTTTCAGGGTCATTTGTTTCATTTAATACCTCCTTCCAAGAAAGATTTTTAACTGCATTTTTGAATGTGCTGATATTAGTTTCACTATATACTCTTTGATAGGTTACTGTAGCCCAGACTGGAATGTTTGCAAATTGCGCGACGGAGATCAAAATTTTCCGGACATTTTGCGCGCCCAGTTTCCTAATTTGCGCGCCCGCTTTGCAAATTTTTCGCGGCCGGCGCTACAGCTTTCACGTACAAAAAGACGACTCAAAAATAGCAGTCATTGGACAAATCGGCCCAAAATTAATAGTCATAGGAAACTCAGGCCATAGGAAACATAACAGATTGGTGCACTTACCTCGTATTTGTAATTTGTACATACCCCTCGGTCCCGAGCGACCCCACAACTCTGCTGACCAACACTGGCAATACATATGTAATATGGCAGACAGATACCAAAAAATTCGCTTCATTCATGACAGGAGCAGATCCAATGGTTTTGTTGACTGATGCACTAAACCTCACACTTGTAGGGGGGTCCGGGGGAATCCTCTCCCGGGGAAATTTTGAAATCTAGGACCTCGGAAATGCGATTTCCTGCGTTCTGAGGGAGCTTTTCTTTGAAGTTCACACATCAAAATCAAAACGTAATTTGCTGGATTTTCGCGATCGGGCAAAAAACGTAAAAAATCGGCCTTATAGAGTGAGAACAACATAATCATGTGAGTTTTAAAATAAATTGAAAACATTTTTACGCGGAGTTTTATCAGATCGAAACTTGACTAGCCTTATTTATTCCTATTTGAGTGAGGATTATAGAGTAGCAAAGTTGTAGCTATAATTTACAATTTTACATACAAGTGTACACTACTTACATGTACACAACATACTGATAGAATAATTGAAAGCAAAACCACAGACATTTTTTCTGTGTAAAATATGGTGCAAATGACATGAAAAGTTGATCAGGGTTGTGTTTCCTATGCAAAATAGATAAGAATACTTCAAGCAAACTATTATATTCATTGCCAATGATATCACTTCCTGTTACCAGTTAACACCAATCAATATAACAATGTTCCAGGTCAAATGCCTTCCAGCAGCACCACCATGACATAAATTCCAGTTAAATTATTTTAATAATCCAGGATTAATTCCAGCGCAACTTTGAGTTACTGTATATGAAGGCCCTCTCTGGAGCTAGTCAGTCTAATATTTATGGATGCATTTATATCCAACATTTTGACAAATGCAGTTTGAATTTTTAAATACTGTAAGATTATAAAAGTATTCAAGGGTGTTAGGTACTAGTTTTCATTGTTGCTGAGCAGTTAATAAAAATAAACAATTATTGAAACTATATGCAGAAAATAGATTATTCTACAGTATTTGAAGTCTGGATATCTACAATACATTGACCAATATATCTCCACAGATTTTGCATTGAATCCCAAATCATACATTCAGGAGAGTGTCTAGGACTACTGTATGTATCCAAAACAGGCAAAACTGCTGTTTCAAGATATTAAGGGTAGACAAGGGAGTAGTGCAGTTATGGACTTGGTAGGTATCTGATTGCAGGACTGACAAGCTTCAGTAACAGTGGCAGTGCAGTATATTGTGATCAACTCAATTAGTACATTGACTTATCAATGAAAGTGAGATGATTTATCAATTTATACATTAATGTATTCTATGCAATGACCCTTTGTTGTATTGAAAATAAATGATAGAATATCGATGTTCGCCTTGAAGAGCTAGAACCGAAAGACCGCAATCCGCCGAAAAACAATAGGATTGGCCTAAGGTTTAAGGCCTAAGATCATATTTCTGAACGAGTAAATGGAAGATGTTTATTGGCTAATCGTATCGCATCGGAAGTGAACTTTTATAAATTTGTTTCATATGTCAATTCTACCACTGTGATTCTACATTGGCAGTGACACGCGCTTCACAGCGTGAAGTTTTACTTCGTCCAAACTTTCCAGTACAAACTTTCCAGTCTGGACTGTAGCTTCATTTGCATTTCTGTTTTTACTAAAAATGTTTGTGTTAAACACATGCACAATTGGTAAGTGGTCTGAAATATCGCTAAAAACAATACCATTTATACTATCATTAAGTTTTTCTAAATTATTGGTGAAAATATTATCAATTAGTGTTTCATTGTGATCAGTAATTCGTGTTGCTTTAGTTATTAATGGGAAAAATGATGAAGTGAATAATTGTTCGATAAAGCGGCTCGTATAATCACAAGACTCTGATTTGAAAAGATCAATGTTAAAATCTCCCATTAAATAACACAGTTTATTTTCTCTGTCAATTTTTTCTAAGATTGTCTTCATAAAGGCCTGATTCCACGAGGCGGAATTTTTCAACCGAAACGAAATTTCTCTTTGTCTTTTTACAATTAGTTCTGCTTGAGAGCTCTGAAACAAAGAGAAATTTCGATTCGGTCGAAAAATTCCGCCTAGTGGAAAACCGCCTTAATGCTTTCAAATGTCGCAAAATTACTATTTGGTGGTCTATAAATAACCCCAATTATAAGATTTTTACCATTATTTACTTTTTTTGTCTTAATTCTAGTTTGTTTTTTGCTATGATTCCACAATCCAGATTCCTTGACCTTTTGGCTTTTATTTCAAAGATTTTTAGTATTTTTAGCGAAGTATTTTCAGTTTTTCTGTATCTTTTCAAGTTTTTGAATCACAAAAGCAACTTGAGCAACAATGCAGTGAATATAAATATATATTTATGTACCTTTTTAACTTTTCAGTGACTTCTCTGGCTTTTCACAACAGTAAACTAATTCACATTTTTACTTTTTGTTTTTGGCAGGAAATCAAATAACAAAACAAGTTACCCTTGTCAGGCACTCAGGTGGCAACCTGCAAGCAGGTCGCATTATGTTTATAACTTGATAAAAATAGTTATCACTGCTGTATTAAATATACAACTATTATCTGCATATCTTATTTGCAGGATGAATGTGAAATAGTTAAAATTTACAACTTCAAAGTAGAATAATTAATGAGAATAATATAAGAAAATATAAGAACATTTTTGCTCCAAAAAAAAATGTTCTTATATAATATAAGAACATATAAGAACAACTAATATAAGAACATTTGCCAACCCTGTGTTATTAATTGTCATTCAACCATGTCTCAGTGAGTGCTATTATCTGAAAAGGTATATGCAAAGCATCAATCAAATTTTTTTAAAGAGTCAAATTTGTTCGAAATGTTTAGATGTAATAGCGAAAATTTTTCATGTATATTTTCATTTTCTATTCGTTTTTTGAAATCCTCTGGTAAGTAATAATCACACTGTATTTTGTTTGTATTGAAAGATGAATCAAGTTCAAAATTATTGTCGGAAAGCGCTGTATTTTGATTTGTTTCAAAAGGACTAAATCGTAATTGGCTTAGTCTATCCATATCAATGGAATACGATTCTGCCTGCATATTTGTATTATTCAACGATTCAAACTCATTGTTGTTAAGATTTTTAAATAGTAAATGTTTGTTACTGTTATTATCTAGAGATTGTTGCGCCATTCTATGCTAATATATAGATATATATAGATTGTATAAAAGAGTACTTGATTGGTAAGAGATAAATAATTCAAGATACATCACAAACAGTGTTTGAAATTTGATGCCAATATTCATTCCTTATTAGGTTCAACATAAAGTTGACCTTCGATAAATAATTTGTCCCTAACCATTTTAACTCGCTTTTTATCTTGTTTTGCTTTCTTTAATATAGGATATAATCGTTTTCTTACTTCAAGTATTTCCTCTGGAAATTGCTCTGAGATCGCAATTCCTGATCCTTTTAATTTTCTTGCAGTGGCCAGAATTCGCTCTTTGTCGGGGTAATAGTTAAGCTTGCACACAATGGCTTGTGGTCTTGCTGAGCGCGGATCTTGTTTTCCCAATCTGTGTGCGCGATCAATTTTCACTGAACTTTTTGCGTTTTCAAGCTCCAATTGATTTTCCAATACATTATGTATGATATCAGTCACATTTTCATCTTTCAATTCCTTGATATTATAAAATATCAAGTTGTCGCACATCGACCTTGCTTGGAGGTCAATGACGCGATTTCTTAGTGTATTCAAATCTTCCAATTTTTTAACTCGTCCATTTTTGTTTCTCCTGCTTTGCGGCTTTCGTTTTCTTTCTTCAAATCTTTCACTTCCGCGTGTACGAATTCGATAGAATCTTTCATATTTTTCAGATCATTTTCAATCGATTTAACACGGCTGTCTATGTCATCTAGCTTACTCAGTTTTCCCATAATTATTTCGAACATCTCTGGTTTTTATATCCCCGATAAAGCAGATAATAATGTTGATGTAACATCATTTTCTAGTAACTACATGTTGAATCACAAGGAAAAGTTATCAAAATCGTTTGCAATGGTTGTTTGCAAAATGTCGCTTCTCTCTGAAATGGCCTTCCTTTGCAGGAAGCCACGAAATTGATGTCCTAACAAAAAGTAACTTTATAGCAGTTCTTTTGGGCCCATTGCTCACTTATTTATCATGAAATTGCTTCACTAGAACATTTTTAATGTCTATGGGAAACTTTAAAATTTTGTGAACTAAAAGTTTATGGTTTCGATGTGTTTATTTTATAAGATAGCAGGTGTGACAAAATGGCACTAATTGATTTCTCACGTCTGACAAACAACTAAAGATGAAAGTCCTTATTTCGCCCTTTTATAGCTATGGTTGAATACCTGAATATTAGGTTATCTTTTTCATTTGAGCATACAGATAACATTTCTACATGGCTATCTTTAAAACCAGGAACGGGGAATCGAGGAACGGAACGGAATCGAGGAACGGAACGAGAAAGGCCGGAATCTTTAAAACCCGGAACGAGAAAAGCCGGAATCTTTAAAACCCGGAACAAGAAAAGCCGGAATCTTTAAAACCCGGAACGAGAAAAGCCGGAATCTTTAAAACCCGGAATGAGAAAAGCCGGAATCTTTAAAACCCGGAACGGGAAAAGCCGGAATCTTTAAAACCCGGAACGAGAAAAGCCGGAATCTTTAAAACCCGGAACGGGAAAAGCCGGAATCTTTAAAACCCGGAATGAGAAAAGCCGGAATCTTTAAAATACGGAATTATTACTGTAATTAATAATTAATAATTAATAATTTATTAATTTAATTAATTTATAAGCCAAGTTTTGGCGGGATTCCTAATCTCTTTTGCGCAATTGCGCCCCTCGTGTCAGATCCTCGAACTGTGAACAAACAAGCAAGCAGTATTAAAAGTAAACAACCTCAAGAAATTTTGTGCAAGGCTGATGTTCTATTATTCTGGACGAAACACAGTGGGTTAGTTTTTATAGCGAATACTATTATCAATACTATTGAATTAAAGCTCGATTTTTTATATACGTCTGGCAGATACCACATCATTTTCAAAATACTAGGCCGTTTCAATAAGCTTTCCAACTGAGTCTGTTATAAAATGTTTAAAACTATAATATAATATTTTGAAAGCTTCAAATGCGTGTGCTTACATGCGCAGCAAGGCGAAACTTTGAAAATTATAGTTTTTGAATTTCCGTGGCATGATCGACAACAGTTTGTTGCGAACGTTTTCTCGGCGAATTTTCTACTAACCTGTATATAAATTCCACTAAAATGTAGGCATTTTCACAAGCTTTCAAAACATCCACGTTAGGGGTGTATGTCGTTAAATTTCGACTTAATGTAAGCGATTGAAACTCGTGCCTAAAACTAGACATAATATATATTGCGACTAGAATGGGCTATTCCATTTAATATCCGTACCCCCCTGTCGAGGATCCCTGGAATTCTTCAGGGGTAAAGGGTTTTGAGCTTGGAATTCTTCAGGGGTAAATGGTTTTGAGCTTGGAATTCTTCAGGGGTAAGGAGATTTGATTTGAAATTTTTCAGAGCTTGGAATTCTTCAGGGGTAAAGGGTTTTCAGCTTGGAATTCTTCAAGGGTAAAAGGTTTTGAGCTTGGAATTTTTCAGGGGTAAAGGGTTTTGAGCTTGGAATTCTTCAGGGGTAAAGGGTTTTGAGCTTGGAATTCTTCAGGGGTAAAAGGTTTTGAGCTTGGAATTCTTCAGGGGTAATGGGTTTTGAGCTTGGAATTTTGGAATTCTTCAGGGGTAAAAGGTTTTGAGCTTGGAATTCTTCAGGGGTAAAGAGTTTTGAGCTTGGAATTTTGGAATTCTTCAGGGGTAAAAGATTTTGAGCTTGGAATTCTTCAGGGGTATAACCATAAAAAACATGTATCCTCGACAGGGGGTGTACGGATATTAAATGGAATAGCCCAATGTATATTCCGATGGCAATTTTTACACCCTCGTTTAGGCAACGAATTATCGCTTAATATTCTAGCTACAATGTTATAGCTTGTACCAAAATGTAGCTGATTTCACCAGCTATCTGACAATATGCGTACAATTATTGTACCTGTAATATTCGCACAGATATAGACGTTTATGTTGCAGTAAACATTCTAATTATAATTCTGGTTTCAAATTTTGTTTACATTGTGTGATTTTGACCCCATCGTTTAGACAACGTTTTCTCGCTCAATATTGTAGCTACAATATTCTAGCTCCCGCTAAAATGTAGGCATCACCAGCTATCTGACAATATGCGTAAAATTATTATACTTGTAATATTCGCACAGATATAGACGAATAAAAGTCATGTTATGTTGCATTAAACTTTCTAATTATAATTCTGGTTTCAAATATTGTTTACATTTTGTTATTTTGACCCCGTCGTTTAGACAACGTTTTCTAGCTCAATATTGTAGCTACAATATTCTAGCTCGTACCAACATGTAGCTGATTTCACCAGCTATCTGACAATATGTGTAAAATTATTATACTTGTAATATTCGCACAGATATAGACGAATAAAGTCATGTTTATTTTGCATTAAACTTTCTAATTATAATTCTGGTTTCAAATTTTGTTTACATTGTGTGATTTTGACCCCGTCGTTTAGACGTTTTCTCGCTCAATATTGTAGCAAAATGTAGGCATTTTCACCAGCTATCTGACAATATGCGTAAAATTATTATACTTGTAATATTCGCACATATAAAAGTCATGTTTATGTTGCATTAAACTTTCTAATTATGATATTAATATAATTAATATATATACTATTAATATATAAAGCGGTTGAAACTCGTGCCTAAAAGCAGACATAATATGTTCCGACTATTAACGACATTCACCCCTAACGCAGATAGTTTGAATGCTTGTGAAAATGCCTACATTTTAGCGGGAGCTATATTCCTGTAGCTACAATATCGAGCGAGAAAACGTTGTCTAAACGACGGGGTCAAAATAAAAAAATGTAAACAATATTTGAAACCATGCAGAATTATAATTAGAATGTT